AGCAGGAAGAGAGTTCCACAAGCGAGAAGTGCAAGAAAAGAAACCGTTATTATTTACTCTATTTATATTCGGATTATTGTCCGTATTTTTGTTGTTTTTATGATAACGTTTCGGCCGTTGTGCCCTCCGGTCTTCCCCAGGTGTATATCGATCTGGGAAACCTACATAGAATTACGAACCCTTTATTTAATCAACGGGGATAGGTAGTTCTCGTTCCGCTGTTCATGTCTTGGGATATCGTGTAGTTCTTATTTTTATGTAGTGGTGCTTAATTATAGCTCGCATGTTTAATTGAGTGCCAGTACATACTGCTCGATCCATGGATTGAAATCACAACCACTATGTCACCAAAATAACAAGGTCCTTATCTTGTAGGACAATTGCTCGATTAACGGCTGAAACGCTGTGATAAAACAACAAAGACGAGGACAATAGTCCGAATATAAATACTTTAAATAAAGATAACTCCTCATCCCAGAAATTCCGACGAAAAAAAGAAACGGCTAATATAGAATTTACAGAATACATCTAACCATTTCAACTGTAAAATGATTAGACATAGCTGCCAATCAAATATTGCGCTTAAATTCGTAAAGTTTAATAAAGAAAGCGGAAAGCTCATCAGAACAATTACCATTAAATGTTAGAAAAGGCAGAGGGAAGCTACGTTCTCCTGGTGAGGAAGTGACGGAAGCCGAGGTGCCAGGTCAGTAACAGTAACATTGCAGATTCTACTTTGGAATTTATCAAGAATCTCTAAATATACAGTGAACCAGCATTCCCAGAATGTATTCAATATAATCGTACAACTTCATGTCAGTGCAAAAATTTCAGTCCAAGAAGGCGCAATGGGTCACTCTTATGAGGATTAGCATTAGCCATACTGATGGAAGCTGAAAAAAGTCAGTAAAACAATTAAAATAGAGCAGTTTGGTTCCGGAGGCGTTAAAATTAATATGTTATTTCTTACGCCAATTAACAATAGATTAAGGCAGGAGAAAATAATGGCGTCATCAGTATTTATACTGAATCTAAAACAGATGTCAACGGGAAGAGCCTTGAGGAAAATTAGAAAATTTTTTAATGGAATGTCCCACATTCCCTATTACCTATTTAGGACTGACTATATCAGTAGGTATATATAAGGTGCACAGGATATACCTGGGACTTCCTTCGGGAATTAGTTGGAGATTCGTCTCCAGCTGTGCTGGTCGAACTCTCTGCCTTCGAGCTGAGAGGAACCAAGACGAGGCTATACCGAAGGGCAGAGTTTCGTTTGGAGTGGTAGACAGCTACCCGACCCCGTGTATACGAGGTCTACATGGAATTTTTGCCCGATCCTACGGGCTCAGCTTTAACCCCGCATTAAAAACGGCCTTGTGCTACATCCTGCCCTGCGGGGAGGTAAGGTAAATAGCCTTGCTTCGGGAATTAGTCTAGAGTTGGAGATTCGTCTCCAGCTGTGTTGGTCAAATTGAGAATTAACATCCCCAGACGAGGCTATGTCGAAGGGCAGAGTCTCGTCTCGGGAAACAGCTACCCGACCCTGTTTTATACGGTAAATTTTTGGCCGAGCCTACGGGATCGATACCCTACATTAAATTTGGCCCTATGCCACATCTGACCGTGTGGGGCGGTTGGTAGATATTCTTGCTTTGGGAATTACTAGCTTGCTAACCGATTCCTTTTCTTTCAGTAGTGTATTTTCTTTTATAATAAAACTCTCTTTCTTTCATGTACGCCTCTGTTGAGGTTCCTTTCACTCGAGTACCACCTTCGTCTGTTTGCAACCTTCTTTAAGGATACAACAGAAACAAATTAGGACCCTAGATAAACCTGAATTAATGTAAAAACTGGCCGTTCAAGACAACTTTCATTTCACGATTTGATAAGAAAGATTAAGTTTGAATCAAATCAAAAATTCGCCCAGAAATACCAAAACCTTTCAAATTGTGAAGACGACCAGCATGTCAAATCCTATCAAATGCTTTTTTGTGTAATCTTAGTAAATATATCTGTTATCTGTTATAGCGAGATGTCAGTGTTATTTTCATTTTTGCTTAATTCCATCGCACCCTGTATACACTAAACAGCCGGTTCCATACACCGATCCAGAAAGTACTTAATTCCTTCTGCCAATTTCTATCTTAACAAGAATGATCAGAGAGAGAAAAAAAAGAAGTTTTGTTCATATATCTGGGCTGGAGCTGCTCAATCATCTCTTTCCCATCTGGACGGGGTTCAAAAATATCTACGTGTGTGATGAATTATTTTCCAACCTACAACCCCTTTCCCGATGACAAAACGTCGCAAACATCTCACCTGTCTATCGCTATTTTAATGGCACATTTTCAGATGTGCTACATTCCTTCCTTTGTGAAGCAAAGATGGAAACGATCAGCTGGACGGTCAATCATCAAGTGGCAAAAAATGGTTTCTGAGTCACGCATCCTTCCGGTTAATAAATTAATCCTTTGAAAATAAATATTTAATATTTTCCAACCAACGGGTCGCGTCTCCCGCCGACAAGAAAAAAAATGCTTCATGTTCCCTTTGAAGTGTATTTAAGTAAAGTCCCCAGACGGAGAAAACCAGTAAGAAGAAGGAACGGCAACATACGATGCGCATGTCTTTAAAGTGATTCCCTTATTCATGCTCCCGTCTTCCTCACCAAGCTACATAACACTTACAGTTTTCTTCACCAAGCTAAGTGATACTTACACTTTCCTCCTCAATTTCTCCCTTGCCGCTTTTTTCACACACATATACGCAAAGGAATCTTATAAACAACTACAAACAAGGAACTTTAATTTATGAAGTTTGATTCAATGTTTGTCAGTACATAGACTGAGATCGAAAAGCCAAACCACACTGAGACCTACAAAAAATTGAAAGATGTGGAGAGCTTTGATCGCCGGTGTCCAAAGAAGGCATATAAGGAAAAGGGGGATATAGTGGATGTGACAATATTCCCTGTCTCAAGTTGGTGAGTTTCCACAGTGTCATCCTGGCAACACTGGACATTGTCGATTAACTGGTGCTTGTCGCATCTTACTTAACTAAATATGCATTTCATCCAGTTGCTGGCAGTAAACTTTGCCAGTGATGCTCAGATTAGATTCCAGAAAGCAGGAATGGATAACACTAACGGACTACCAGACAATCAGCATTTTTCTGTTGGTACAATTTCAGTTTTGGAATGTGTTTAGGAGGTCTTCAGGGTGTAGGCGGTCATGGCTCTCCACTTCCTCCTATTCCTTGTAGTTCTCAATAAGTGTTGTCTTTTTGCTACTTTTCCCCAGATCCTGTTCTGTCATCCACTTGCCTAAGATACGCGTTGCTTTCCCTTGTCTCTCTTTCCATCTATTCGTCATGTGAGTATCCGATTTTCCAAGCATTAACACAAGAACTTTAGCACTCATACACGCTGAGAAAAATTTAGTTGTAAAAACAAGAAAATAAAAACATTTTATATTTAAAAACATTTCTTGCCTTTTTCTTTGTTGCGGTTTGATTCCAATCCACAACTCCCCCCCGTTCAGACCTTTACAGCTAAGATCCGTCATGTCACGTGTAAATGTTTGACTCATTTTCATTTCTATCGTATTCCATCGTAATTAGGATGTTCTATTCAGACTTGTTCTTCCCAAGCACCATTATTTTGTAGAACGGACTCCCGAAATGATGCTTCCCTTATTACTACTGTTATGTACTTTCAACAGCCTCATTCAGTAACACTCTATCATGAGTGTCTCTTGGGCCTTGTACTTGGTGGACAATTAGTAAAGAAAAAATATTTTCTATTTCGTAATATTGTGATATAATCGACACACGGGCGCCCATTTTCAAGATAATCTGGTGACTGGACCGAAGGCACGAAATTAATAGAATCACGTATCTCTCTATGAAGTATATAGATATGAAACGAGTGGCACACATACAGACACTAATAAAGACATATCCCTGTCACAGACACATTTACCGGCATATTTGTGTATCTCCAAGATACTCCACTGTGATGGGCAACATGCTTGTGCCGTTTGGATACGATGACTTACGATTCCGTTTCTAGAATAACCATCGATGGCTTCCGAACAGTTTTGTCTATCGAAATTCGTTTCCAAGTTTTGGGTCATCCCGTGGTATGGTTTTCCAGGCACTTCCCAACAATGACACACGTTGAAATTGTTTCCAATATTATCAAGAAATCAATTCCTCAGTAAATCATCCAAGGCGATATTTAAAGCATGGTTTAAGGATTGGAACGCGGATGTTCTCACCATTCCGTCACGCGTCTTCTTGTTTGTTTATCTAAAAGCAATAAGCAACGTCGCCTCTCTACCATATTCCTTTATCCCCTATTATCTAACTCACTACTACCTATACGCTGGACAGCGGCACCGGCACCGGCGAGATCTCTTAGCCATCAACTCGGATCAGCAACGGTCTGCCGTTCTTCAAATGCTGCTAGGTGAAGGTGGGGCGCTTTTGAGGTCATTTAGTTGGATAGGGGTGGAAAATTCCCTTAGACCTATACAAGGTTATGTGAGTTAGTCCCGTGTTAATCGGTAGGTACCCGAGATGCAATCCCAGCGAAGTTCAAGATTTCCTCCGTCAACGCCGTGAGATGCGTTTCATTTTCCGCTGCGGCAATCCATTACGCCACATATGTCGTGTCACGCAGGATCATCCGGGAACGGGCTCGTAATGACTCCAACGCAGCAGGCGCAGCTGTTTGCAATCCTGGTATGACTGTTGGACAACTGTCTCTCTCCAGTTATAGGTCAGGGCAAACTTAACTTGTCAAATGAACGTCCCCACCTTGGTTCTTAGTTTTGGGACATTTTCCCAACCTTTCCAGTGCTTATCGGGACCTACCGCTTATTAATATTTGACTTATTTTCTAGACATTTATTTTTAGTTTTATTTCTAAGAGGTCTTTTTAAATACTATTTGTCACTCAAGACAAAACCTAAGACCTATTCAAGGGAGAGAGAGGCTTACGGCGACATCACGTTGAAACACCTGTACCCGTACGATCACCGAAGTTAAGCAACGTCGAGCCTAGTCAGTATCAAGATGGGTGACCACTTGAGAATACTAGGTACTTTAAGCATGGATGTATGGGTGGTGTAATGGATAATGGCTCAGAATTGTTAATCGGAGAGCGGAGTTCCAATTCATTAGGTTCACTTACCAGCAAATGCCCTTGGGAAAGGCATGAATCCACCTCACCTTCCCCTAGCTATGGATTAATTAGTAAGACTTGTGTCACTAAAAAAGAAAATTGGCTTTAAATAATCTCCAAAGCTTTGGTGTTAATGTAATGTACCACTGCCTGAACATTAATTAAAACCTTACTCGCTAAGATTGATGGACTTACGCTCGGGTGCTGAGATCTGTACTTAACGTCTCTTGGAGAAAACAATCAAGTAAATTACGGTTCTATGGACCCGTCCCTGATATTTCTATCCAGAATGCGCTTTGCAGGACACTGCTGACGAGCAAAACACGAACTCGCGAGTATCCACTGATGTGGACATAACCATGGAGCAAATCGAGTTAGTCGCCCAGCAACCACTTACATCGACCAGTTATGTTATGAATGCAACACTAATGATCTTTCGACTTTGATGCAGACTGTGGTGTAACAAACTCATAAATGTCCAAGCTGATTCGACTGAATAATAATAATAAAATAAAGTGTTGATAAACCGTAAAAAAAACGAATCAGTCAATCAAGCTAGAGGTTTAATGGATGAGATTGTTGTCAGGGCGTAAATGGAGAAGGCAAGATGTGCATATCAACCCTTTGAGCTCTGATTACCGATGCACCGGTGGCAGAGAAAAATGACTTAATGCCCAGCCACCGGTTGAATAGCGGGTAAACACTTGTAACTATTTTTAGAAACTACCGTGAAACATTACATACCAATTATTTGCGAATTTTGACTCAGGAGCTCAGGCAGAAAGGTTAAACTTGTTCAGGAACGCAGGACTCAAAGAGCTTAGAGGATATATAAGATAGATAAAGTTTGACTCTAAACTTGAATATGTTAAAATTGTATTTATCAAGGAGGTTTCCATTTAGGAGTCTGTTCCACAAAGAAATAGTTCTGAGGTATCAGCTATTAAAGTGAAAGTTTTCTCTTTACCAAAGTCGTACGAAAGGAATAGGTCACATGGCGGTTTTTGTTATCGTTAGAAAAATTTGTTTTAATCATTTTCGAACCACCCCGTTTATTAGATTCTCTAGTTTATTTCTATCCAACCACTCCCATTTATTAGGACTTTTTAAAATTTGTGACACGAGAGTAATCAGAAAACATTTTATTGTACGAGGTGTGTCCGGAAAGTAGGCAGCCATTATATATATATATATATATGTTATGAAATGGACAAACTCCAACAATTATTTTAAGACATTTTTTTATGTTTATACGTTCTTTTTATAGATACAAATATTTAAGTAAATGCTCTGTTTATAATAAACAATATTAATGACATTTACTGGCCTGAATGTCCGAGAAATTTTCATATAAGATATGCATCCTCCGACAGGAATAGAACCTGTATTCTATACGGAACCGTCATATAGCCTGACGTGCTTTTACCGATTCAGCCACAGAGGAGCGTTTCGGTTAGCAAGGTGGCTAAATCTATGAAAATTTCTTGTTTGTATCCTCTCTAAGACTCGGTCCATGATATCCTCAGCATCCTTTTGTAGAACCACATCTCCGTCGCCTCGAGTCTCTTCTTCATCTTTGAGGAAATCGTCCAACATTTGCTGCCGTAAAGAAGGACATATGTCAAGTCACAGCTCGGTATTCTTTTCTTCGTTACCAAAGAAATCCTCCTGTCTCGCAATACTCTGCCCAGCTTTTGGAATGCGTCCTTGGCCATCCCAACACGTCTACGGATCTCAGTGTCGCATTTACCTCCCTCTGTCAGAATGCTTCCTAGATATTTAAACTTCCGCGTCTGCTTGATTCTAGTGTTCCCGACCTACAAATCGCATTTCGGGCTCATCCTTTTCCATCCGTTTTCTTGTAGTTTATTCTTAGTCCCTTCTTCACACTCTTTGTTGCCACCTTCTTTATAGGAGTCTTGTATAATCTGTATAGCTATTTACTTACTTATAATGAATTTTTGTTGTTAATTTGAAACCTGTACCTTGTTAGAAAAATGAGGAATGCTGTTTAACATCTTATTCTTTTCTTATTTCAGTTGCAGGTCCATTTATTGATTGATGAACAGACTCAATCCGTTTAAGTTGGTCCAGATTGGTTTAAACAAGAAAATACTCAACGTTATTTCTACTGGAAGATTGCAGTTGGAAAAGATCCAGAGTCTACCATGAAATATTTAACTATATCGGCTTCAGTCACTTAAAAAGAAAATTCATTAAGAATGGAATCTGGACATTTAAAGGCTTCGAGTAATGATTGAACATTGAATCTAACATCTAAATATAAGCAAACAAGTTACAAATAGGGAATAAAATAAGGCTACATAATTTACCACCAAAAAAACCCCTCCAGACCATGGAAGGTTGTTTAATGTTTCTGATCAAGTCCTCTGAAGAAGTTACGATTTTTACCAGTGTTGAATTTTGCAATTCACACAGAGGACGACGGTGGTATACGGTAGGCAGTTAACAAGAGTGACGAAGAAAAAGTATCATCGAGAAATTATCATTAATCGCCAGCCTTTATCTGTTATAAAATTTGATCATCGGTAAACGATTTTCTTTGTAGATTTTACTGACGCAACACACATTTAATGAATTAAAAAATGCTCTTTCATGAAGCACAATTAAAATATTAGGATTTTACATATACTTACACGTGATCTTAAATATATCTATGTTATTTAAAATTACCCATTTATTAACAAGCGTTCGTTTTAGTAAAATTAACACGGTGATAAATACTGCATATGTAAATTTGTCTGAAATTCAATAAAAAAAAGGTAAATTGAAATCATAGTTGAAATTAGAAACATATTTGTAACGAAAAAATTAATATAAAATATTAAAAATAATTTATTAAAAATAATTTAAAAATATTAAAAAATATATATAAAAATAATATAAAAATATTAAAAAATATATATTAAAAAATAATATAAAAATATTATGCTTGTGTATACATATATATAAATATATTGATAATTTGATATATATATATGTGTATATATATATAAAATCTTTGAGAATTTATCAAATTAAAATAAAATAATAATTAATAGTTAGATTAAAAATATATATAAAAATAAGAAAACTTTTACTCATTTTCCTTTATTAGGCATTAAATTACATCACTTAGCGTCCTCCATATTTTAGCTTGACAGCCTTAAGAATATTATAGAGTTCCTAATTTTCTGTTTATAAATACATATTGCAAAATAAAGTACTTACATTTACCTTGATAAACATCACTCAGGGAACGAAACGCGTCGGTAAAGAAAAGTTTTCCCTTCGTCTTTGATATATCATGATATAACTACATTTAGTAATTTGCTAAGATTTCCTTAGTTTTGGATTAAGGATTAAAATTGTTTAAATATCCGGTGTTCCTAAGCGCTCACCTATTTAACTACTAAACACGTTATTTGTTGCTTAAGTTTAGAAACCATTGCTGTCTGCATAATTTGGCCGTAAAATCTATCTATCTATCTATCTATCTATCTATCTATCTATCTATCTATGCACGCCTGAATATAGATATATTAAAAAATTTTATGTTCATAATTGAAATATATACTTTGGCATACTTATAGTGTTATATAAGAAAATTACTATATATCAAGTAAAAATATAAATCTCTACACTCGTGAAATTAACTATTTACTTTAGATAATTCAGTGCTACTATAAATTCTAAAGAATTAGCATGTCGGCTCAAACGTTCAGCAATACGTCCGAGACGCCTTTTACGGGCTCAGGGAAACTAGCTTTCGTCGGCAGCCAATCCGAACTCTCTGTGTTTGACGAACTTTTCAGTAGCGGTACCGGCGCAGTTGCTAATATCGGAAGTGTCGGCGCAGCTTCCGCTCCGAACGATGACGTCAATGACACGGAGACTGCGCTGTCGCAAGAAAACTGCACAAACGTCATGTGCATTCCCGACGCCGATTATGTGGAAGAGATCTGGGACTATATATTCCCATCGCCGGTCGAGTGGATCTTCATTGGCCTACACGTGGTTGTCTTCTTTATGGGACTAATCGGCAACTCTCTCGTGGTCTACGCCGTGCTGCGAGGTAAAAACATGCGATCGGTGACGAATACTTTCATCGTAAACTTGGCTGTGGCGGATTTCCTGTTGCTTCTTATTTGTCAGCCGTCATCACTTCTGGTTGACGCCACTGAGACTTGGTATCTGGGCAACGCCCTCTGCAAATTTATCACTTATTTTCAGGTAAGAATTCTTATTCTTTTATTTTCTACATCCACCACCAACTCCTTTTTTATGTAATTTCATTTTGCTTTTCTATGTCGTGCCATAAAGTTTTTTCTCGTCTGCGTCCTTTCTTCAAATCTATAAATCAACCATCCCACCTTGCATGGAATATTGCTGTCATATAAGGTCTGGTGCTCCCGCTGTACGTCTCGAGATCCTCGACAAAATCCAGAGACGAATATGCAATGTGATAGGTCCTGATCTGGCATCTAGTCTACAGTCGTTTTCTCACAGACGTGCCGTGGCTTCCCACTGTCTCTTCTACAAGTATTTTCACGGAAACTGTTTCGTCGAGCTATTTTTGCTGGTTCCCAGATTGCATGAATTTAAGCGAGCTACCAGGCTGGTATCTCGGTCCCACCCTTTCATTGTCAAAACGGTTAAATGTAACCGTCTCTTCTACTCAAACATCTTCTTCCGCATTTCCCGTCTGTGGAACTACCTTCCTCTCACTTGCTTCCCTGATAACTATAATCTTCAAATATTTAAGTGTAATAACAATCGACATCTGACACCCTGAGCTTGTTCCCCGTCCTTCTCTCTATCCTTTCCTCAAACACACCTCTTTACTCTTGTTCACAATCCTCTATAATTTCTTTTCAATTTCTCAGATATATCTATATGCTTTGTTGGCGTATTTACTATT